ATATTCGTGGCCTAAAACAAAAATCAAACGGGGCCTTACGTTAAATTGTTAATAACTTTTATCTAATTGATTTGTTCTAGTTTTCAATTGATAATATAACCATTCTTATTTTAAATTATTTTTCATGAGATATAGTACTCCAAATATGTCAAATTCTTCTAATAATTCCTTCATTTTTCATGAAAAATTACTTTTTCTACAAATAGTATTCAATATTTATTAAAAATAATAATAACTTATAACCTATTATTATTAAAAATGAGGCCCCTTAAATTTTGGGGCCTAAGGCACATGTCTTTTTTTAACACTGTCGAACCGCCCCTGCTCTTCATTAAATATTTATGTTCTATTGAGGTGTTTGTAGTCTTCAAGAACAATTACTAATAACCAATAAAATGAAAAAAAAATAACTAATTTTATCTAATACTTCTAAAATGACAAATAATTTTAGTCAATCTGATAGATCAATGAAACTCCATCTTTTATCATTTCGTGCCAAATGCAACATTATCTTTAATAATAACTATTTTTAGAAATGGAACATGAAACATGTGGCTATGAATAAACTATTTTGAATCTTCACTAATTTCCCCCTTTGTTTTTTAAAATATAGTCAATTTGTTAGTATTTTTTTGAATTTGGTTATCAATGCAATGACATCACGACCCTACATGTTATTTTCCGCATAATTCTAATGAAAGGGAAATTTTACGTTGATACGTCTCATTTTATATAATGATATTTATTTAAATAAATTAATAGCAATGCATATCTAGCTTAAATATTAGTATATATATATATATATTTATTTATTAATTGATAGTGAAGAAAATATTTAATTAATAGTAAAAAGTACCTCAAATTATTTAAAGAATTTAAATTTGATTGAATATTATATCCAATGACTAATGAGGATGGCAACTCTTTAAATTGAATCGTCTGTATAAAAAATACGATTTTTATCTATAAAGTTAATTTTTCATTTTAAATTCAAATTAAATAATTGAGCCCCAAAATTACTACCGAGTGGGAATAAAACAAGAGTATTACTCTATAAACTTTGCTAATTATATATCTTGTTGTATGAAGTAATCTTAACGAGAGGTTTCTGGTACAAGTTTTGAAAATGAACAAAAAATTATTGAGAGCATCATCTAGAAATGAATCTTGCAACACACAAATTTAAAGTCAAGTTTTAATATTGATATTGAATACTAGGCAAGAAGTATAATATTTGGACTTGATTAATGGAGAAAATGACTCCTATATTATATAGCACAATTATAGTTACAATAAAATGGAAGAAAATGACTATACAAATATCTCCTTACTTTATTTTCTGATTTATTTATGTGTTATATTTAATTTATATAACTATAAAAACTATATGAGGTATCCTTTTGTGGTCAGCTTCTTACCAAAAACTTAGTGTGCAGAATTTGCATAAAATTTATTTTTCAAATTCAAACTAATAAGTAAGGTTTCATAAATTCATAGTCAGAAAAATAAATTACTATTTTTCTAAAGAGTATTTTTTTACATTTAATTTTGTATTGAACAAAAGAATAATTTCTATTAATGACTGTATTAATTTAACCGCATAAGTCTTTGGTAGGGACAATAGCATGTTTATAATGTACTTAGATTATGACGTCTTTAATTAAATGTTCTAAACTCCACATACACACATGTCCATAGAAAACACTGTAAACGCTACTATACATGATCGATTATGTGTTTAATAATGAATAATTACCTATTCCCTTCGGTCCCAAACACTTATTGATTTCGTTAACTGAATTTATTTCAAAATATTTGACGTTTCAAAAAAATAAAATATATTTAACACTTTTTTTTTTCAAAACATTTTTCGTGGACACAATAACAACCTTATAAAACAAGCATGGGCCAAAATGATTTCAATAATAATTTTACATAAAAGGAAAGGTAGATATTGCCATAGGCCATATGCACCATTAATTACTCTATCTTTTAATTTGATATATAATGGCACATACCAATTATTACATTTAATTGAGGAGTGGACGCATTCATCAAACCACGATATATAAAATAGAATTTAGAATTTAAATTTTATGAATTCGTGTTTGAGTTATACCAAATTTCATTTGATTTACTGAATTCGAAATATATGACTAATTATTTAATAATCAAACACACACACATATATATGTAACATGTTTGAGATGAACCAATAATTTGTATATTATATTGACTCCTAAAAATAGACTTTCGTCCCAAGATACTTGTAATGTTTCAGATTTTGAGAGTCGAATTATATATATATATTATCATCAAATTGATATTAGAAGAATTGCGATTTACAATATTTTTCGTTAACTTTGCAAATATACAATGTATAGCTTCAAAGATTTATGAACGTTGACGTTAATCATGTATAATGGGAACAAACTTTATGAATTATTTAATTTTATTTATGATGATAAGCACTAAAACTACTATATACTCCTATTTTAAAGTATTTTAAAATACTATACAAAGTTCACATATTGTGATTTGCTTTGATGGTATTTTTTGCGCCGAGAGTCTTTATATTGTCATAAATATTATAATCAAAGTTCATTTAGTTTGACTTTTAAAAAATTAAACGTGACAATTTATATGTAGGAATGATAATAAGGCATGGTAGAGCGTGACGAAATTGCACTTAACATGTTAATATTTTGACCCGCCTACCAAGTTTAAGCACTCCCCTACCCCGCCCTATTAACTCTGCCCTACCTTCTCACGTATTTGTCCTACCTTATTATCATCCCTATTAATTATAGGGATGGAGATTATATATATGTATGTGCTATATATGGACTAATTAATATGAATTGGATAGATTTGTCCATAAAGTATTTGCACATGGAAAAATATCTTTTTTTAATTAATAAGCAAGTTATTGAAAGTCTCTTACGACAAGCAATTTGTTGACATAATATAATGTAGGTAACTAATTAAGCTACTTAATAAATGTCTCTATAATTGCTTTAATTTGTTGCTTAATATTATTACTTATTTCTGAATTAATAGAATTAAGATACATTTAGCAAGCGATAAAGTTGGTGTGATGTTGAAGCCATTTCTTATTAGTACTTTGCTTGCAAGTTCTCAAAATATTGGCGTAGAGTTAAGATTTTAAAAAAAAAAATTAAAATCTATTCTCCAAAATACATCAAAATATTAATATGAATAATCATGAGAAAATTTAATATTATAATATTTTTAAATATAAAAATAAGATCTTTATATTTTTGCAAAAACAACAATTTTAGTCTCTATATTACTACATAATTTCATTTTTAATTTGTGGATTATATGACTCTGCACATTTAACCATCAATTTCAAATAATTGAAGGTTAAATGTGCATACTTAAGTAATACAAGGATTAAAATTTGAATTATGCATAAATATAGGAACTACAATTGTTTTTTCCCCTACTTTTTAAGGATAAACTTAAAAGAAGGGATAATTGCAAATTTTATTGTTGTCACTGTTCCTTTCTTTATTAGTTGCCGCATATTTTTTTTATGCTATTTTTCATAACTATTTTGATTTGTGTTAAGAGTCGAAGATCCTTAAAAATAATCAACACACACTTTATCTTTCTCAAACTTTAATTGTGAAATTTTCATTAAATATACTACTGATTACATTAACAAGGAGCTCAGTTCAACTCTTTGCATCTTAAGAAAGATAATTTCAAGAATGAGTCATTGTCCTTCTTCAATCCTAAATGTCCAACCTAAGAGTGAACACCTAATATCTAAAGAAGAAAAAAAGCAGCTGAAGAAATTAAAGAATGGCGGAGAATACAATTTTGTGGAATTGAACGAGTTGCATGTCATTATTATATAGGGTCAGCTAATTTATTACTTAATTTATCAAATGTCATTAGTTAGAATATTAAATGGGAAAACGCACAAATACACCTTAATGGTATATTCACTATATCAATTATTATTATTTTCTTAATAAATATATCAAATAAAAAATGAACAACTAAATTGGGACAAAATAAGTATCAAAAGAGGAAAACAATTAAGAAGACTTGAAGTCATCAAAAGTTGGAATACATTGAAATCATAAGTAGTTTCAAAAACCAAGAAATATTAGTATCCCAGAATAGAGTTTAACAAGTATAGAGACAGTATTCATTCAAGCTAAAGTAGCTCCACTAGGTCCTGCCAAATCACACCAATATGCGTCTCCATTGATCATACAAGCCCAAGATATGAGATCACGCCTAATGCGTATGTACCCATTTAGCCATCTATGTAAGCCCCAACTGCCCTTAGCAGTATAATATTCAATACCATTTTCATCAACACCGAACCCAGTAAGGAGTACAGCATGACGAACAGGACGATCATTGTCGTTTAAATGTGGCTCTTCTTCTTCCTCAGGGCTCCAAACATCCTGGAAAAAAAAAAGACAATAAAAAACAAACAACAAAAAGAAGGATATTATTATAACAAATGAAATGTAAAACTTACCAATCCTTTATGCAGGATCAAAGAGTCATAGACAAGAACAGACGCAGTCAATGGTTGCTTTCGCAACTCAGCAATGATGAGTGTTTCATTGTCTAGATATCTCCAACCGCTAATACCAACTTTTCGTTTATCCTAAAACATGTGTAACAGTGTAAGCAAAAATAATAATTTACTAACAAGTTAATTTTAAATTACTATAAATTGATTGTTACGTACCAGCAAACTAGGACACTGGCAAACTTGATCAGCCACAGCAAGATAAGGATAATGACACTCAAGATGCAAACCTTCTTTTACTATGTGCTTATACGCATAGCGAAATAACATCGATTGACCTTGCCTTTCGACGCAATCGAATAACTCCTGTTTCGACAAAACTATGGCTTTCCGACGCACATTTTCTTTTTCATAGACAATATTGTCTAGGGCAAGTTTTGCACTAACATGGTCGCCCACGGCAAAAGTAGTGCAAGAATCTACGACATAAAAACAAAATTTCAACTAAACAACCTAACTATAACTAAATATACTTTTCATATAATAAATAATTAACAAATATAACGTCATGAAAAAACAACTTCTTATTTTATGCAAAAAAGGAATTCAACATCAAATTATACCAGAAACAACTTTTGATTGACAAAACAAATTGTAACACCTCGAAAAGTGGAAAGTTGAAAAGGAAAGGAAAAGTGCAGTTTTTGCACAGATCCAATGGTCTACGAGACTGATTGTAGGAAATGCCATAGGTCGTAGGAAAGTGATCGTAGAACCTTGGGTGAGTTTGTGAGAAATTCAAGTTTCTGAAGTTTGGCCTACGAGTAACCAAGACGAGTCGTAGGAATTTGGACGGGCCATAAATGACACTCATAGAAACTGAACCAGACTTTAGAAAAATATTGAACTTGAACTTATGTTCTACGAATGAGGTCTACGGACCGTAGACTAAACGACGTGTCTTAGATGGGACTCGTGGGAAGTGTAAAATTTTTGGGTCTTTGAAGTTGGTTCTACGGTTGACCAGTATTGACTATAGGTCCAAACCGTGAAAACTAACGGTATTTGGGTCTTTTCCTATGCATTTGAGATCTATACTATGTCGTTTTGATCCTAATTCTAAAACCTATAACTACCCTTCAACTCCTAAATCTACCCAATTACCATCCACATTCAACCTCTCCAAATTCTCAAGTCTCAAGGAAGAAAACTAGGGTTCAAGCTTCAAGTCTCATTTTTCCTCCATTGCTTTTGGGCTTTGATAATCAAAGTATGTGGGGTTTCACCATTGGAATTCATTCATCTATTTTATTACCAGTACCTTCTTATGCATAATAGTTGCATCACCCTCTACATCTTTAGGTAAAAATTTTATTACCAATACTTCATTTTTCTTTTTCGATTGACAATATTCATTTTTCTTTACTATCTTTTTATTTATCTATTGATTAATTTTATTTACATATCATTTTTTTGGTATTTTGTTGCTTATTATTTTCTCTTTTTTGTAAAAGCAATTATAATGTAAATTCTTGATTTCTTTCTTTTGTTTTTTATCGGAACTTCGAATATACTTCATAATCATTGTATGAGATATTATTCTAATTTTTTATTTTTATTTTTAGTAGATCGTTATTGCTATGTTCTTACTTTCATATTAATTGGTTTGTAGGAGCAACTAGCTTTGCTTGGAAAGCTGATGAGGATATTTTCTGCCTTTTAGAAAGCTTTGGTTTTGTTATTGGTCAGAGCTTTTAGCCTTTTTATTTTGGTTTATCTTCGTATAACTCAATATCTTTATCAATTTATTCTTTGCCACATATCTATTTTATTTTTTCTTTGTTGTCTTTTGAAAGGAAAATTTGTCACTTTAAGGAAGATGTAGAAACTCATTTTTTGGACAAAAAAAATCTCCCATACAGATTTAGATTTCTCCAATTGAGAAAACTCCAACAATTACTTTTATAGTATCTATGAGCCTAAAATCAAAGACAGCTTCAAAAAAGAGGTCCATCAAGTCTGTTAAATTTTTTGGGTATTTAAATTTATAAGGTTCTCAAATTGACGCAAAATAAATGCTTTAAACAAATTGAGAAAAGTAAAATTTTACAACCTTTTTGTTTATATATAAGCATACAACCTTTTTGTTTATATATATATTATGTGCAATTTATTTGGTCGCAAGGTCTTGACGTCACAGTTATATGAAAAAAGTAAAATTTTACATGAAGAGAGATTGAGTATTTTTATTTAGTCTATATTATTATTACTTTCTAATAATTTAATATATTAACTAGAGTAAATGTTTACTCTTTGGTACCAAACTATTATTTGGTTTTTCTCTTTTCGTAAACATTGTTTTGGGAGTTTTACCCCCTGATTTTCCCCATCCTCTCACTCTAATTAAGTATGAAAATTTGTAATTTATTGATAGAAAAACTGCAATTTCGAAAAAGTTAAAAGTTTTCATCCACATACTAATTAGCATTATATTTCCCTCGCTTTCTACAAGCTGACTAAGTAATAATATTTTGATGTATGCTAAAAATATATAATTTGTGTTATACTTAAAAAAAAATCAATATGTTGTTACTATAATTCTTTGATAGGATATGTGCAACTAATGTAATTGAAATGTGTCCAAACAGTGAACTATTCTAGTATCATCAATGGGGAGCCTATTCCTCTTTTTGACGCTGCTAAAGGGTTAAGACAGGGGATCCTATTTCACCCTATTTGTTCGCCATTGCTATGGAATATCTCAGCAGGACTTTGAATGGTCCTTCTCAACTGAAGACATTCAAATTCCACCCTAGATGTTCTAAGGTCCATTTAACCCACCTTTGTTTTGCAGATGATTTGTTGTTATTTGCTAGAGGTGACTTGAAATCAGTAGAGGCTATTAGCCAATGTTTACTCCTATTTTCAAAGGCTTCTGGATTGGAGGCAAACTTAGACAAAAGCGCAGTGTATTTTGGTGGAGTAGAGTCGTTGGAAAGGGACATGATCCTTCAGCAACTTAGCTACTCGAGTGGGGGTTCTTAGGTATACCATTATTGTCAAAAAAGTTGTCTATCTTACAATGGCAACCTCTTATAAGGAAAATTGTTGCAAGGATTACTGTTTGGACTGCAAAAAACTCTCATACGCTGGAAGAGTACAATTGGTACAGGTTGTTCTATTTGGAATTCAATCATATTGGGCTCAATTATTTCCTTTGCCTTCTAAAGTGCTGAAAACTATAGAAGCTTATTGTCGTAGTTATGTCTGGACTGGAGCCAATACTATATCCAAGAAAGCACTAATAGCATGGGATAAAATATGTGCTCCTAAAGCCGCAGGAGGTCTTAACCTGATCAATATGGATTTGTGGAACAAAGCTGCAATTGCCAAGAATTATTGGGACTTAGCACAAAAGGAAGACAAGTTGCAACTCAATTCCAGGAATATTAGGGTCAACATCTTTTTCAATCAACTACCATTACCATAATTGCAACTCAATTCCAGGAATATTAGGGTCAATTATATGCCTCAATATCCAGTATCCTCCATTTGGGGTTTGTTTGGGATCTCCACTATTCAACATCTTTTTCAATCAGTTGGTATTGCTTAACCAAATCTGCATGGGTTACAAGGATTTTAGGTCTTCTAAGAATAGAAAACTATCTTCCATGAGATGATGGATCTACAGCTTCTAAAATTTTCATTCATCGCAGTGCAACACCTACTAACCAAGCATTTGCAGGTCTAATTGGTTTTTGATCAGACTATCTCAAGCCACTTACTTTCATAATTTCTCTATACGTGTTGCTGCACATTCATCTTACAACACTTATCTTAGGATATATTGGGATTTAGAGGTAGCAGAACTAACAATCGTATCCTGAAATTACCAACTGACAAACAATTCAATCACACCAACAAATGTGCATCGAACTAAGGCAGAAAAATGGTCCAAACGTACATAAATCTATTTATCAATGTAGTACTGAAAAAGGCAAGAACAATATTCTGGCAAATTACAATTAATAGAGCACAGAACCACTTGTTTCCATGCCTTATGAGGATAATGTGGCAATTAGTCATTGAATTCATCATATCAAGAAGAATGGCTATTCTTTTCAGGAATAAGCTTAGTAAAGCCCTTGGTGGTCCATTGACACCATAGAAGTTACCCAATTACGAAGTAGAGCATTTACTAAGAGGATTCTGTATATTAACCTAAATGAAATTAGCAAACACACAACTTCAACTTCAGACAACGGAGTAAATCAGTAATGAATGATAGTCACTCCAAGATAAGCCACTGCATTAGCTTCAGTACCAAACCATAATCACGCACTATCCACACACAAAGCATGAGGGGGAGAGAGAGAGAGAGAGAGAGAGAGAGAGAGAGAGAGAGAGAGAGAGAGAGAGAGAGAGAGAGAGAGAGAGAGAGAGAGAGAGAGAGAGAGAGAGAGAGAGAGAGAGAGAGAGCATGAAAAAGTATTTCCCAGTCTGCAAAGTCTTTAGACAAGTATTAAAACAAACAGAAAGCAACACTGAATTTGATTCAAGTTCATACAGAGGGAAAGCAGAATGAATAAAAAGTAGCGGATAGCCTCATGATTCTTGAGAAGAAAACTACAACATTAATGAAGCAACAAACCAAATCATTGAAAATCATTACCAAAACATTTAGCAGTTATTTAAGAGAGGGGAAAAAATGACACAGCAGAAATGACAGAGATCTCCATCCACATAATTACGGTAATTCACATATAAAGGAATTACATGACACTTCTTACGTTCCAGACAGTGGCGGACCCAGAAGTTTTGCTCAGGGGGTTCGAAATATAAAGAGGAAGTTCAGGTGGTAATGCAAGTGTGCGGTGAGCGTAGTAGCCCCTCGGCCCTTTGTACAAGAATCATAGATATTTCATTGGTTCATAAAAGTAAAGACTAAGCTAATCAGAGATATCGAGAACAAAGATGCATTGATAAGAATTTTAGTGGATCGACTGTATTACATAAGTTAATTCCTAAAACACATGAAAATTAAATGATGAAAAAGGGAGCGAGACGGGGAAGAAAAATAGTTACCTTATCATGCTAAATTTAACTCACTTTATCATACCGTATTAAACATTTCTTTTTACTTTTATCATGCTCCATCGAGCATTCTTAAAATTTCTTGTGCTTTTTATGCTTTTATTTTGTAATGTTTTACTTTATATTTCACTTTTTAAAAATTTTAAATTAATATCCATTCAATCAAATATTACTATGAAAATCGTCAAGATTCTCTAAAAGTGTGTAAGAATAGAGTTACTAATATTATAATCCATATTATTAATATAAATAAATATCATCGTCAATTTTTTTAGTTCATATAGTTCAATTTACTAATTTACATTTTTTTTAAAAATAAACTATATTTCTATTTCAATTTCAAGTTAAATATAATTCATTATTTTTTTTAAAAAGTTATTCAAACGTATATGAAAAAAGAGTTACGTCGAAACAAAATGAATAATAGATATAAAAAGAATAAAATATAAAAATAAAAAGTATGTGTCTAATAAATTTAAACAAAAATAAATTAAAAAGAAGAAATGGAATAAAAGGAAAAAATAATGAAAAAGAAGAAGAAGGTCTAAGCCCAAAAGTTCCATTTTCCAAAGCTAATATTAAAAAGGGGAAAAAATGTTGCCAATGGGATTTGAACCCATGACATAGGTGCACTACATGAACCACTTATCCATTGAGCCAAGTCTGTCCTTTGTTTTCAGGGGGTTCATTTTAACATATATACATATAAAATCAAAATTTGATGTTATATATACAGTGTAATTTTTTGACGAGGGGGTTCGGGTGAACCCCCTGGGCTCCACCTAGGTCCGCCCCTGGTTCCAGATATCTGCACTACCTCAAGATTTTAGTAGATTCATATATTTCACACACAACTGCATTAAAAATTATCATACCCAAAACCAAGTTTATGGGACAACAATCATGTAACTTCAAAGACCCGAATGGAGAGAAACAATTCCTCAAATGGGTTAGCTTCATTCAATATCCTACAGTGGACAAACTAACCCATTTCATATCCTATGAGAAAGTCAAGCAGATGTGATAGCACAAGCAATACATTAAACAGGCAAAATTTGAATTAGATAGAGTAGATTGTAAATTCAATTAATCTTTCTAAGACTGCACGAAGTGAGGACATATTCATTAGTTGATTCTATAAGATTCATTCATTATTCATGATTCTGACTATGAATTAATGAAGATATGCATTTATGAAGATATAAATCTAAGATTTATGAATATAAGAAAAGAAAACATACCGAGTGCTAGTTGTTTCCCAATCGGAGTCATCACACACTCACCAACGAAGCACGCCTCAGCCTAGTAAGATTATGGTATATAAAAATATGCAAAAAACAACCGACAAGAAACCAAAAAGATACAAAAACAGAAAATCAGAAAGTATCATTACTCCGACACAAATGGCAGCACCATAGTCTTGCACCTCCTCCTCAAATGCAGCACCATAGTCTTGCATCTCCTCCTCAACTTACTCTTCCCTGGTCTGGAAAAAATAGAATCAATTACAAAAAATCCTAAATGGAAATTTCAATTTATGAGAGCCAAAAATCAAACAAAGAAAACAAAAGAGATTTTCATAAAACAATGAACTTATCTTCAATACAAAAGAGACTTATTAGCTTTACTATGTATTCATTTCAGGATTTGGGAGCAGATTAAATGAAGAACATAAAACAATTAGAAAAGATACAACTATCATGGTAAAACCTAGCAAAAATACAAAAGAACAATGATAAGTGCAAAATGGAGCCATGAATAGCATATATGAACTCACTGTAACAATTCAAAACATTCCAGACTACAGCTAGGGCACAAGAAAATCAAGAGTAATATGAAATCAGAATATGCAATGTCACCTCCAAATTGCAAGAGAAGTAGTAGAAGCTAGGGCACAAGAAAATCAGAGTAATATGAAATCAGAGTATGCAATGTCACTTCCAAATTGCAAGGGGAGTAGTGGAAGCTAGGGCACAAGAAAATCAAGAGTAATATGAAATCAGAGTATGCAATGTCACTTCCAAATTGCAAGGGGAGTAGTAGAAGCTAGAGCACAGGAAAATCAAGAGTAATATGAAATCAGAGTAGGCAATGTCACTTACAAATTGTAAGGGGAATAGAAGAAGCTAGGGCACAAGAAAATCAGAGTAATATGCAATGTCACTTCCAACTTGCAAGGGGAGTAGTAGAAAAAACCATTTATTATATTTAGAATTCTATTAACAGAAAAATAAATATGATCTGGGTTTATTATATTTTCAAAGTGGACTAAGGGGTCATTTAGTTTGAAGACTGGTTATGATGAGATTAGTTTTACTGAAATTAGTTATGTTTTAGTTACAATGGTATTTTTTCTTAGTTAATGTTTGGACTAAGATATATTTTTATCATTTTGACTATTGTACATCAGGAAAAGTTATCCCAACATTATTATTCCACACAGTGACAGGTATAAATTAACCCAGCACTAAATACTAATCTCGGGATAAATTAACCCAAACTTAATAACCAAAAAATGGATTTGGGGATACTAAAAATTTATCCCAGAATTATCTCCTTTTATCCATCATATCAAGCATGTCCTAAGAGTATACATTGTATGTTCACTTATTATACATGAAAAGCAAAATGTACAACTACCAACATACTTTTAAAAAAAATTACATTGTTTGGCCAAGAAAACAAATCACTCACTTGGAATTTTCAAAGTGGAAGCTGTGTTTGGCCATTATTTTTGAAAAACAAATTTAGAATACGAATATACTTTTTCAAAAAGTGGTTTACATCAGGGTTTATGAGAGATAGCAAAATCACCTAAATTAATTCATTCACTCAAACATACCATCAAATGAAAAACAAATTTAGAATACGAATATACTTTTTCAAAAAGTGGTTTACATCAGGGTTTATGAGAGATAGCAAAATCACCTAAATTAATTCATTCACTCAAACATACCATCAAACTAACTCTAAAAGAGTAATATCCCAAAAATAGATATCCACATAAAGTCATAAGTTAAATCTCATCTACTACATACTATAACAAATAATTTTTCACATTATTTGAAAAAAAATTTGATGTTGGAGATGGAAATGGAGTTCTCTTTGATTATATTCCCTCTATTCCATATTCACTAAATTTGTGAGGCAATGCACACATATTAAGAAAAAACATTCAAGGATATAATTTAAAACATAATTTCTACTATTGTCCTTTGTGAAATCATAAATATAACTTTGTAAGTAGTGTAATTTATCATCTAGAAAATTACACTACTTACAAAACTTCAATAACTATAAGGGCAAATATGGAAAAAAAAAATCAAACATCCATCTTTACTATGAACAATTCAATTACTTTGAACAATGAAAAAGGCCTCAAAAATTCAGTTATTATGGAAAAAAATTTCAAACATCCATCTTAAACTTTGAACAATGAAAAATGTCTCAAAAATTCAATTCATATGGAATAGAGAGAGTAGTTTTTGCAAATAATATTTGATTGTCGGGAGTACTCTCCTTTAAAAAAAAAACACGAAATATAATCTCAATGGGGTTGTTCTTATAAAAGTTTAAAAAAATGTACTAGATGATTTGTTGTTTCAACATGGCCTAAAACTGCTTTTCAAATAAAGTAAAAAAAACTTCCCAAAATAGAATGAAATGAAAAAAAATCTAATTCATCTCAACTCTAAAGCCAAGCCAAAAGGAAATAGTAGTAATTTTGGTTTCACAGAAAAATGTACTAGATTTGTTTCAATTGGAATAACTAAGTAAACATTATTTGAAAAGTATATTAGAAAACAGTAGTACCTTGTTGATTTGATGGAGATGGATCTCCATAAGTCATAATTTTCAGTCCCTCCATTGAAATCAATCCGATGTAGAAGCAACAAGTAACATCTATCTGTGTCAAACATTAGCAAAATAGAATATAGAATTTTAGATGCAAAACAAACATAGAATTGATATTTTTTATAACAATTTGCCGATCCAGAACTCAAAAAACATAAACAAACATAGAATTGATATTTTTATATAACAATCTACCGATCCAAAACTCAAACATAGAATTGATATTTGTTACAACAATTTACCAGTCAATTGATAACCGTATCCATCCATAGAATCTTTAATTGGACCAAAACAGTCGCTAAGGTTTTCCATGAAAATTATTTTGCCAAATTAGGTATAGAGAAGAAGAAGAAGAAGAATGGTACAGTGAATTTAGATGACTTTACTTTACTTACTTCTCTGCCCACTTGCATAGGTTAATATCAAAATAAAATAAGGTATGCCCCCTTTTTCTTTTTCTTTTTCTTTTTTTAGTCTATACACTTGGAAAAATGTGAAAGGCAATTAATTACTTTCACACCGGTTTCTTTACCTTTTTAGGATAATAAAAAAAAGTATCTATATTCTCCTCCTTTCTTTATTATTTTGCTTTTTTCATAAATAATACTACTCCTTTAATTTCACGAATTTATAACCATACTAGATATAGGACCCCGTGCCAGCACAGGGCCCAATATATATATTTTTTAATTTTAATTTATGTTATATTATGAAATTTGAGAAGTTATTGAAAATTTTATATGATTTTAAAAATATTTTAAATTGTTATCTATTGTGATTTGTAGTACTTTTTTTTTACATAATTTTGAAAATAATATTTATTACTTTGTTTGTTCTAATTTATGTGGCACACGTAGAATTTCAAATATTAACCATTTTTTATATGTCTTTTTAATATATTAAGTTGTTAATTATTGTATTTTATAGTACATTTTGAACCTAATTTTTTAATAATATATGTTATTTGCCATGTCCCAATTTATGTGGCATTAATTGATAGATTTGTTGGAGTCGAGAGATTTATTTTGTTAATTATTGTAATTTATAGTTTCTTTTTCGTCAATTTCAAACAATATATGTTGTTAATTGATAGATTTTTTGGAGTGGACTATTTTTTTTATTAATTATTGTAATTTATTGTTTCTTTTTCGTCAATTTCAAACAATATATGTTGTTAATTGATAGAATAATTTTAATGTAATTTTTTTAAAAAAATATGTGTGACTGTCCATGTCCCAATTTATGTGGCACATGTAAAGTTTTGACAATTAACCAAAATTTTAATACATTT